TGACAGGTATCAGGAAGGAGACAACTTAACATAGTAATGTTTGACAGGTATCGGGAAGGAGACAACTTAACATAGTAATGTTTGACAGGTATCAGGAAGGAGACAACTTAACATAGTAATGTTTGACAGGTATCGGGAAGGAGACAACTTAACATAGTAATGTTTGACAGGTTTCGGGAAGGAGACAACTTAACATAGTAATGTTTGACAGGTATCAGGAAGGAGACAACTTAACATAGTAATGTTTGACAGGTATCGGGAAGGAGACAACTTAACATAGTAATGTTTGACAGGTATCGGGAAGGAGACAACTTAACATAGTAATGTTTGACAGGTATCGGGAAGGAGACAACTTAACATAGTAATGTTTGACAGGTATCAGGAAGGAGACAACTTAACATAGTAATGTTTGACAGGTATCAGGAAGGAGACAACTTAACATAGTAATGTTTGACAGGTATCGGGAAGGAGACAACTTAACATAGTAATGTTTGACAGGTATCAGGAAGGAGACAACTTAACATAGTAATGTTTGACAGTATCGGGAAGGAGACAACTTAACATAGTAATGTTTGACAGGTATCGGAAGGAGACAACTTAACATATAATGTTTGACAGGTATCGGGAAGGAGACAACTTAACATAGTAATGTTTGACAGGTATCGGAAGGAGACAACTTACATAGTAATGTTTAGACAGGTATCGGGAAGGAGACAACTTAACATAGTAATGTTTGACAGGTAACAGAAGAGACAACTTAACATAGTAATGTTTGACAGGTATCAGGAAGGAGACAACTTAACATAGTAATGTTTGACAGGTATCGGGAAGGAGACAACTTAACATAGTAATGTTTGACAGGTATCAGGAAGGAGACAACTTAACATAGTAATGTTTGACAGGTATCAGGAAGGAGACAACTTAACATAGTAATGTTTGACAGTATCAGGAATGAGACAACTTAACATAGTAATGTTGACAGTATCGGGAAGGAGACAACTTAACATAGTAATGTTTGACAGGTATCGGGAAGGACACAACTTAACATAGTAATGTTTGACAGGTATCGGGAAGGAGACAACTTAACATAGTAATGTTTGACAGGTATCGGGAAGGAGACAACTTAACATAGTAATGTTTGACAGGTATTGGGAAGGAGACAACTTAACATAGTAATGTTTGACAGGTATCAGGAAGGAGACAACTTAACATAGTAATGTTTGACAGGTATCAGGAAGGAGACAACTTAACATAGTAATGTTTGACAGGTATCAGGAAGGAGACAACTTAACATAGTAATGTTTGACAGGTATCGGGAAGGAGACAACTTAACATAGTAATGTTTGACAGGTATTGGGAAGGAGACAACTTAACATAGTAATGTTTGACAGGTATCGGGAAGGAGACAACTTAACATAGTAATGTTTGACAGGTATCAGGAAAGGAGACAACTTAACATAGTAATGTTTGACAGGTATCAGAAGGAGACAACTTAACATAGTAATGTTGACAGTATCAGGAAGGAGACAACTTAACATAGTAATGTTTGACGGTATCGGGAAGGAGACAACTTAACATAGTAATGTTTGACAGGTATCGGGAAGGAGACAACTTAACATAGTAATGTTTGACAGGTATCGGGAAGGAGACAACTTAACATAGTAATGTTTGACAGGTATTGGGAAGGAGACAACTTAACATAGTAATGTTTGACGGGTATCAGGAAGGAGACAACTTAACATAGTAATGTTTGACAGGTATCGGGAAGGAGACAACTTAACATAGTAATGTTTGACGGATATCGGGAAGGAGACAACTTAACATAGTAATGTTTGACAGGTATCAGGAAGGAGACAACTTAACATAGTAATGTTTGACGGGTATTGGAAGGAGACACTTAACATAGTAATGTTTGACAGGTAATCGTGGAAGGAGACAACTTAACATAGTAATGTTTGACAGGTATCGGGAAGGAGACAACTTAACATAGTAATGTTTGACAGGTATCAGGAAGGAGGCAACTTAACATAGTAATGTTTGACAGGTATCGGGAAGGAGCCAACTTGACATAGTAATGTTTGACAGGTATCGGGAAGGAGACAACTTAACATAGTAATGTTTGCCAGGTATCGGGAAGGAGACAACTTAACATAGTAATGTTTGACAGGTATCGGGAAGGAGACAACTTAACATAGTAATGTTTGACAAGTATCGGGAAGGAGACAACTTAACATAGTAATGTTTGACAGGTATCGGGAAGGAGACAACTTAACATAGGAATGTTTGACAGGTATCGGGAAGGAGACAACTTAACATAGTAATGTTTGACAGTATTGGAAAGGAGACAACTTAACATAGTAATGTTTGACAGGTATCGGGAAGGAGACAACTTAACATAGTAATGTTTGACAGGTATCGGGAAGGAGACAACTTAACATAGTAATGTTTGACAGGTATCGGGAAGGAGACAACTTAACATAGTAATGTTTGACAGTTATCGGAAGGAGACAACTTAACATAGTAATGTTTGACAGGTATCGGGAAGGAGACAACTTAACATAGTAATGTTTGACAGGTATCGGGAAGGAACAACTTAACATAGTAATGTTTGACAGGTATCAGAAGGAGACAACTTAACATAGTAATGTTTGACAGGTATCGGGAAGGAGACAACTAACATAGTAATGTTTGACAGGTATCGGAAGGAGACAACTTAACATAGTAATGTTTGACAGGTATCGGGAAGGAGACAACTTAACATAGTAATGTTTGACAGGTATCGGAAGGAGACAACTTAACATAGTAATGTTTGACAGGTATCGGGAAGGAGACAACTTAACATAATAATGTTTGACAGGTATCGGGAAGGAGACAACTTAACATAGTAATGTTTGACAGTTATCGGGAAGGAGACAACTTAACATAGTAATGTTTTGACAGGTATCGGGAAGGAGACAACTTAACATAGTAATGTTTGACAGGTATCGGGAAGGAGACAACTTAACATAGTAATGTTTGACAGGTATCAGGAAGGAGACAACTTAACATAGTAATGTTTGACAGGTATCGGGAAGGAGACAGCTTAACATAGTAATGTTTGACAGGTATCGGGAAGGAGACAACTTAACATAGTAATGTTTGACAGGTATCAGGAAGGAGACAACTTAACATAGTAATGTTTGACAGGTATCGGGAAGGAGACAGCTTAACATAGTAATGTTTGACAGGTATCAGGAAGGAGACAACTTAACATAGTAATGTTTGACAGGTATCGGGAAGGAGACAACTTAACATAGTAATGTTTGACAGGTATCGGGAAGGAGACAACTTAACATAGTAATGTTTGACAGGTATCGGGAAGGAGACAGCTTAACATAGTAATGTTTGACAGGTATCGGGAAGGAGACAACTTAACATAGTAATGTTTGACAGGTATCGGGAAGGAGACAACTTAACATAGTAATGTTTGACAGGAATCGGGAAGGAGACAGCTTAACATAGTAATGTTTGACAGGTATCAGGAAGGAGACAACTTAACATAGTAATGTTTGACAGGTATCGGGAAGGAGACAACTTAACATAATAATGTTTGACAGGTATCGGGAAGGAGACAACTTAACATAGTAATGTTTGACAGGTATCGGGAAGGAGACAACTTAACATAATAATGTTTGACAGGTATCGGGAAGGAGACAACTTAACATAGTAATGTTTGACAGGTATCGGGAAGGAGACAACTTAACATAGTAATGTTTGACAGGTATCGGTGAAGGGGAGACAACTTAACATAGTAATGTTTGACAGGTATCGGGAAGGAGACAGCTTAACATAGTAATGTTTGACAGGTATCAGGAAGGAGACAACTTAACATAGTAATGTTTGACAGGTATCGGGAAGGAGACAACTTAACATAATAATGTTTGACAGGTATCAGGAAGGAGACAACTTAACATAGTAATGTTTTGACAGGTATCGGAAGGAGACAACTTAACATAGTAATGTTTGACAGGTATCGGGAAGGAGACAACTTAACATAGTAATGTTTGACAGGTATCGGGAAGGAGACAGCTTAACATAGTAATGTTTGACAGGTATCGGGAAGGAGACAACTTAACATAGTAATGTTTGACAGGTATCGGGAAGGAGACAACTTAACATAATAATGTTTGACAGGTATCAGGAAGGAGACAACTTAACATAGTAATGTTTGACAGGTATCGGGAAGGAGACAACTTAACATAGTAATGTTTGACAGGTATCGGGAAGGAGACAACTTAACATAGTAATGTTTGACAGTATCGGAAGGAGACAACTTAACATAATAATGTTTGACAGGTATCAGGAAGGAGACAACTTAACATAGTAATGTTTGACAGGTATCGGGAAGGAGACAACTTAACATAGTAATGTTTGACAGTATCGGGAAGGAGACAACTTAACATAGTAATGTTTGACAGGTATCAGGAAGGAGACAACTTAACATAGTAATGTTTGACAGGTATCGGGAAGGAGACAACTTAACATAGTAATGTTTGACAGGTATCGGGAAGGAGACAACTTAACGGGAAGGAGACAACTTAACATAGTAATGTTTGACAGGTATCGGGAAGGAGACAACTTAACATAGTAATGTTTGACAGTACGGGAAGGAGACAACTTAACATAGTAATGTTTGACAGGTTCGGAAGGAGACAACTAACATAGTAATGTTTGACAGGTATCGGAAGGAGACAACTTAACATAGTAAATGTTTGACAGGTATCGGAAGAGACAACTTAACATAGTAATGTTGACAGGTATCGGGAAGAGACAACTTAACATAGTAATGTTTGACAGGTATCGGGAAGGAGACAACTTAACATAGTAATGTTTGACAGGTATCGGGAAGGAGACAACTTAACATAGTAATGTTTGACAGGTATCAGGAAGGAGACAACTTAACATAGTAATGTTTGACAGGTATCGGGAAGGAGACAACTTAACATAGTAATGTTTGACAGGTATCGGGAAGGAGACAGCTCGAGACTTGGCTCAGCGCGGCGCCCGGGTCATCCTTGCTTGTCGTAATGTTGAGAAAGCTGAGAGAGTTGCAGGTCAGTCTGATCTGAAGTTCTATATCGCACTTTACATGTGTTTATATTAATGTCATTAGATTAGGGTAATGTTAAAGCTTCTTTTATAAAAATAATTAAGTGTACTTTGTTGGCTCTTCAGTTTATGAAAGATATTCTTATATTTAACATAAGAACATAAGAAAGAAGGAACACTGCAGCAAGCCTACTGGCCCATGCCGGGCAGGTCTATGTCAACCCCCAGCTTAGACCAATGGCCCACCCAGTCAGGTCACCTCCAGTTAAGGAAGGAGCACAGCTTCTGACCCAGTAGCACCAGCTCATCAGGTCCAACTCACACCCACCCCACCCACTCATGTATTTATCTAACGTATTTTTAAAACTACACAACGTCTTAGATTCTATGACGGAGTTTATTCCACTAATCCACAACTCTATTACCAAACCAGTGCTTTCCTGTTCTAAACCCATGTTGCCTTGGGTTGTGATCTTGCTTCTTAGAACCCTTTCAAAGATTTTCAAAGGGTTCTAAGAAGCAAGATCACCACCCATGTAGATACCCATCAGTTACACAACCCAAGGCAACATCGGTACTATTGCTTTACTGCCCCCTTTGTGGAGTGGGGCTATGTCTGTTGTGGTCAGCAGCTGTGGAACGACCCATGCTCCCTCTCCATAGGATGTTAAAATCACATGATAGGGGCTTCTTGCAATTCTTGATGAAGTCGGAGTTCCATGAGTCTGTGCCTGGGGCAGAGTGCATGGCCATGTCATTTATCGCCTTTTCAAAGTCATTTGGCGTCATGGTAATATCAGATAGGTTTGAGTCTCTCTCATAAAAAAATCAATTAGGTCTTCGACTCTCAGTCTGGTTAACGGCTTGCTAAAAACCGAGTCACACTGGGACTTGAGTAGCTGTCATCTGTGTAGGACCCATCTTGTTTAAGTAGGTTCCCAGTACTAGGTGTTGTTCTCGACTTTGATTTGGCATAAGAAAAGAAATATTTTGGGTTTCTTTCAATTTCATTTATGGCTTTTAGTTCTTCCTGCTTATCTTGGCTCCTGTAAGATTCCTTTAACTTTAATTCGATGTTTGCTATTTTCTTGACCAGTGTCTCCGTACGTATTACAGATATATTGATCTCTTTTAGCCACTCTGTTATTCTTTACCTTCGCCTATATAGAGAGCGCCTTTCTCTTTCCAATTTATATCTTCTCCTTCTTTTCCTTAATGGAATATGCCTTGAGCAGACCTCGAGTGCCACAGAGTTAATTTGTTCTAGACATAGGTTGGGATCCGTTTTGCTTAGGCTATCTTCCCAATTTATATAACTTAGGGCTCGGTTTACTTGGTCCCACCTTATGATTTATTGATGATTTATTATTATTTGTTTTTCGTTGTGTATATTGCTACCGCTGCCAACTACAGGTTTGCCATATTTCCACAGGTAACAGTATACTTCTCGTATTTCCACAGGTAACAGTATACTTCTTGTATTTCCACAGGTAACAGTATACTTCTCGTATTTCGGAGAGGAAGAATTTTCTACTGTTGGTCACTCCACCACACTAAGTACCGTTTTGTTCCTGGATGATTGATGATCTTATGTTGTTGTGTATACTGTATTCACTGACAACTCTACACTGTTTATCGTATTGCTACAACATTGTACACTTTTCGTATTTTCTCATGATTGTGCGCCTTTTCGTATAGGTCTAGAGATTCTGCGATTTTTTTAATTGACATTGGTAAGCGTGTAATCTGCCACACCTTACCCAAGGGGTGTAGGGATGGAGGCTGGAAGCAGCGAGGTGGTGTGATGGTGACAATGTGGATGGTAGTGTTGTTGGCCCAATGTGGGCGGTGGTGTGATAGTGACCATGTGGATGGTAGTGTTGTTGGCCCTATGTGGGGGGTGGTGTGGATGATGGGTGACTGAGCGAGTGAGTGTGAAGTTGGTGTGGGCAGTAATTAGGGTGGCTAGTGTCTACATGACTAGGAGTGTAGATGGCATGTTTGGGTGTGTGGGCCAGGAAAATATGGGCAAGTTGTGGCAGATTACATGCTTACCAATGTCAATTAAAAAAATAGCAGAATTTCTGGAGAAAATCTAAATTCGTTACACATTATTGAAGGTGCGATCTTCTAATGACGTATATACATGCTGAGTCATGCTCCTGCAGCTGCATTTTCAGTTTTAGATTTTTGCAGCAGAAGCTGCTAGTTTATTGTGCACTCCATATCCACCCTGTGGACAGCAGCACAAGGTGCATATGGATACACGAGAGGCCTAGGAACTAGGCCTCAAAAGGGTTAGCAAGAGTACTTCTGAATTTATATCTACAGTTCACTTACCTGTTGCAAGCAAATTTAGAAAATTTACTTAAAATGGTATTTTATTTTTCATTAATAAGATAACTTGACATATGTGATAGGATATTAAACTGTATATCTCTATGCAGTAGGACCCCAGCATCGGCAATAAGAAACAACCTGCAGCATACCTATGTAAACATATGTAAACACAGGTATGTTTACGAACAAACCTATTTATACATAGTTATGTTTGTAAACATGCCTGTGATACACAGATAACCCACACATATGAGAGCGGAGCTTACAACGACGTTTCGGTCAGACTTGGACCATTTATAAAATCACTAACAGTACGGAGAGGAGACAGTATATATAGGCCAGCATATATAGGCTGGCCTATATATACTGCCTCCTTCTCTCTTTGTGTGACTTTGTCAATGGTCCAAGTCGCACCGAAACGTCGTCGTAAGCTCTTCTCTCCTATGTGCGGGTTATTTGTGTGTTGTTCCATTCACGGTATTGTGCCTTTTTGCTATTTATACCTGCGATGTTGGGTGTGGGAGGGGTGTAGGGATGGAGGCTGGAAGCAGCGAGGTGGTGTGATAGTGACCATGTGGATGGTAGTGTTGTTGACCCAATGTGGGCGGTGGTGTGGATGATGGGTGACTGAGCGAGTGAGTGTGAAGTTGGTGTGGGCAGTAATTAGGGTGGCTAGTGTCTACATGACTAGGAGTGTAGATGGCATGTTTGGGTGTGTGGGCCAGGAAAATATGGGTAAGGTGCGGGTCTGGGGTTGTGGAAGTGGAGTAGTGAGGGCTAGAAGCTGTGGGGATGTAGAAAACTAGTAAGATAAGTACACTTTCCTTCATGAAGCAATCTTTACTCATCTGTAACAGCACGATGTTCAACAACCGCAACCTGGCCAACCCTTCGGGGTGCCGTCCAGTAATCACTGGGGCTGTAGAATTATATAATTAATGAGTATTAATTATGTAATTAATGAATATTAATTATATAATTTGCTCCAAAGAAGCGTATATTTCAGCATTTCATTATTTATTGGAAATGCTTAGTTATAGTTGTACTCACTTGGTCTGGGCTTAAAAGCCCGCCAATCACGAGGTCTATTGGTAAATCCAGTGCAATCTCACCCCTATGTATCAGCTGCAGCTAACATAACTAGGTGTGGGTATGACTGGGCTTACCTGGGTATTGTAACTGACCCAATTTTCCCTAGTTTGTGGTAGGGAAAGTATGACCCCGGTATCGTTCTCTTGAATGGACTGAAGGCTTGAGTGTCTCATAATATGTTGCACTGATGTTCACCACTAAGTCGGGAACGTTAGTTGCAATCACACACTACCGGTTGCACTTCACTATTCAATTCCATCATTTGTTCATAGTTTCGTGGTATTATCCACAACAGAAAGAACACGGATACACAATAATGCTGCAAGATTAGTCCTACCATGAATTTCCTGGCTTATATAATGAAACTAGTTTAACTTTTCAAGTTTCCTGAGATTGTCAGAATGAGCAAGAATCAAGAACACACTGGTCACTACTGTCCCTATGTCTTTTGTTCGATAAGGAGGCAATGCACTCATGGCACACGTTTCTTGCCTGTTCCTTGAAGCAATCTGAGGCCCGCTCATTCCCTCTGCCCTCCTTCTCACATCTCCACAAAGGACATGCTGAACTCAGCTTGATTTCTCCCTTTGCTAAATATCGTAACAATATTCAATTCAAGATGGCAGATTTATCGTTATCTAGCTATAAACTACAATTCATAATAGTCCCAAATTGTAGATAAAGTGGGCACAGGTTTTCCGATAAATTTTCTGCTATGGGGAAGAGAGTAATTACTCTAGTTTAACTCTCACTTGTAGTTACAACGAACTGGTTCTAGCAAGGAGATGGAGTGACTTATGACGCCATAATCCCTCAGAGGGCTGAAGGGGGCTGGGAGGGCTGAGAGATACCTGCTTTACTAGAGCATTTTCTCCACAGGGGAAGTGGTGAGTAAAAGCATGAGTAAGGTGAGGGGCCATATGGGTTTGAAGCTGTGGGGATGTGGTGTGGGTGAAAGGTGTTCATGTCAGTGGCCTGGCGTGGGTGGAAAATGGATGATAGGTGACTGTGAGCGATCATGCAGCTGGTTGTAGTGAGCGTGGTGATAACTTAGTGATTAGATATGTGGAGGCCATGTTAGGGTGAAAGGTCAGGTAAAGTGTGCGGGTGAGGACATAAGGAATATGTAGGGAAATGGTATAGGTGTGAAAGTGTGGTGATGGGGAGAATTGTAAGGGCAAATTGTGTGGGGGGTAGGTTGTTGGTAAGGATGGCGTGGATGAAGGCATGTGACTGGGGGAGTTGTGTGAGTGGAGGTTGCTGGTTGGAATGGTGTGTGTGAAGGTGTGTGACTGTGGGGGGAAATTATATGGGCTGGAGGTATGGGTGGGAGAGGCAGGAATGAGTTGGAGGCATGGTATGGGTGAAGGTATGTGGCCACTAGGGATTTATAGAGGCAGGTGGTATAGACGGGGTTGTTAGGTAAGACACATATGCAACAGTTAGGTATCTTTATTTCGAAACGTTTTGCCTACACAGTAGGCTTCTTCAGTCGAGTACAGAACAGTTGATAGAAGCAGAAGATACTTGAAGACGGTGTAATCAGTCCATCACCCTTGAAGTTTTGAGGTGG